TAAATAGGCCATCATCGAAAGTTCGTTGGCCGATGACTTCTCTCATTCTAAGCAACATGTCCGTCGCAGAACCATGTTGCAAGTCGATATTGTTAAGGAGTTGGTCTAACCGTTGTCGATCAGTTAGGTCTCCTCGTTTTAAAATCGATAGCTTAAGCGATTCGTAAGGTTCGGAAACATCACTAGTAAACATACTAGGTGTTACGTACCTGTTAACCTCGCGCGGTAACGCCTTAACTACCAAGAGGAAACGTGTGCGCGAGTCCGTGATTCCGTGCATGCAAAAATCGGTTACTGCATAGCAGAACCAGGACTCGATATTGTCGGGCCAAAATGGCGTTAACTGAATCGAAATAGGGGGAATACACTTAAACTTAAGAACCTTAGGAGAGTGTTCCGTCATAGTAATATAGATAACGAAAAATGTCTAATTAAAATATATCCGGGAAAAAAAATTCGCGAAAAAAAGTATATCACAATATATAAAATTCAAATAAAGAATAACAATGAATAATAATATTCCAAAATGGAACAGACTCACAGTATATTGACTTGGTGTACCAGATCACGTCGGTCTCACCAATGATGATGCAACGGATATTCTAGTTTTACAACTAGATACCAGTAGCACCTTCTAAATTCGATTGTTCCCAGTCAGCTAGAAATCAGAAGTCAGACGAGAAGAGGCAGGAAAGATATATTTGATTCGTTACCAATATATCGAGGACCTTTTCTATGAGCTGGCTAATGAAACGTAGGAGCTGTGTCCCACGCCGAGTCGAAACGTGATCTGGTGCGGATGCATGACCGAAAGCCTTCAGCTAAACAAGTCCACTTAAACACGTGGTCAGCATCCAATGTCGAACACTTAATGAACTATTGATTTTGGGGAATTATTTACAGCTACAATACTAACAAACTAACCAATTCAAGATAACTCTCATCAACAGGTTCCAAGCTCTACAGGATCTACTGAGAGAACAAGAAACTGCGATGAAAGACAACTGGAAGGGGATCACAGTAGCACTAATTTCAACGTGTCAGGAGGTTCTTGGTCCTAAGAAGCATCATCATCATGAGGAATGGATCTCTATGGGAAACATGGACAATATAGAATAAAGGAAGAAGAAAAAAACAACAATTTACACCAGTCGAGCACGAACAAAGAAAATCAAGGAGCATGCAGAGTACGCAGAAGCAAACAAGTAAGTGAAGAAAAGCATTAAAGCCGGCAAGCACAAATACACGGGAGACCTAGCAACGACGGCGAAAAAAGCTGCAAGAGAAGGGAATATCAAACAACTGTCAGTCAGTCAGCTACAACGTAGGACCAGGCACATATACATCGGTCCATGTTGCCATACCTCGTTAGCACAACAAGATGAACACCGGATTAATAGAAGTAGTTAATTTAGTGGTGGTAATATATAAAAGATAGGTTGTATATAAGGATATAGCATAGGAAGGAAGAAAGTTATGAAGCAATTTTAATCTCAAGGTTTAAGGGATGGCGCCCCAAATGCTCTGGTACTGCCGAGAGTGGGGAGTGTTCGCCCTCGCTCTCGAAATGCTCTCACATATATAGCCTCTGCCAGGGAAGTCCTACTCATTGCCTTCTCGTGGCATTACTGTTGATTACAAAATTGAGAGGACGAAAAGCGAATGTCTGAAGCTATAACCGGGTTGGTGGACACGGAAAGTCCACTTATGGGAATTGGAAAACCCCGATTTCAAAACAATGGTGCACATGGGCTCCAGCATCCTGAAGGAACAAATGGCGTATGAACCAATCGTTGGTCACTGGCTACCATGTGACTGCATCTCCTCACAATACTCCACTGCCTTTATGATTAGGCCTTCAGGTCAAAGGCTCCGGGTGTGACCACACTAAGAAAACCACCTGCCTCAGTTAGGGCAAAAAGTGTATACACCTACGCCAGTGTGATCAATTCTAGGCCATGTCACACAGAGTCTCCAACGGTTGGTTACGATAGTCGCGCGAACCCTAACCGAGTAGTCTGCATCTACGAACATGGCTGAGAATAGAAGTTAGTGACTTCAAGCACTGATGCCACGTTTCGTTCCTAAAAATTACTTTTGTATTTCTTGTCACTGAGTTCAATCCTAATGGGTCTTCTTAGTGTAGTTTTTCTGCGTCCAGTGAGGCGCAGACAAGTGCCTGCTCGTATTAGAGCATGATCGGAGTCTAAACATGTATTCCAGAACGAGCGACAATCTTCTATCGAGCCTCTAACGTGTGGTGCATATGTATCCGGTGCCCTTTGTACCACTATGTATGTGATTAAATAAATAAATAAAATACTTTACCGATGATTGATGGCAATATGGTCTATTTCAGTCCATCGTTGGTTTGGTGCAGGTGGTCGCCATGTTAGACGATGTCTCTCCTTATGCTTAAAATTAGTGCTTGGTAAAAATAAACGATTGTCTGAGCAAAGTTGCAACAGACGATCACCATTATCAGTTCGTTGAGCCAGAATACTAAAATACCCACCTAAATGTATTTCCGATTGGTTTAAGCTACCTAAAGGGGCATTAAAGTCACGCGCTACGAGTACTATGTCTGAGTGCTTAGCTTTTTCGAGAAGTTAGGAGAGCTTTCTGTAAAAGTCATCTTTCACTTCATCATGGCTGCAGTCAGTGGGATCGTAGGCAGAAACGACGAAAAGGCAACGACGTGTAGAAATCCTTTACGATGGACTGCCGCATCCCATAAAACTGATGTTTATCTTCGTCGCTATCATTTGTAGATGACATTCATTGCAATCCCTTATTTTGTTATAGAGAATGCTTTAGTGATCCTAGAGCCATTAGATCCCCATCCTATAAGCATTTTTTGTGCTTCTTTGAAGAGCATCAGTGCAGCTCCTCATGTGTGCAGACCATTTTATTCTCTATGACTAGAATATAACAACGTATCTCCCGAAGCTAGTCTTTTCTGTCCGGTTTTTGTCGAATAAGTTTAAATTCTTCCAAGCACAGCCAGGTTGTATATCATGTCTGCCATTTAAATGTCTCTCCCGATTCCCCACATTGTTCAGACATTTTATGTGCCTTTATTAATTGTTGCTTTTGTTGTCAGAAATAAGGTTAGTCTCGTGTCGTCTTATCGTGCTGCAGCATATTTAATCAGGGAATACCGGTGAGGAACATGGTAAAGAACATGGACGACCTTTGAACGAATCTTAAATGACCTTGAGAAATATTGGCCAATCAGAAGACAATTAGCATACAATAAAAATATATTATACAAAACTCAAAAATTAAAAGGGAAACTGTTCTTTTACATGCATTAAAAACTTATCAAGGTCAGATATAGGTTCAGAAGTTCTAAAATCATAGTGCATCCGGCACAGGAACTCATCCCTGTGGCTCCATAATAGTCGACATCTGGAACCATGATAAAGTCCCGAAAATTCTTTCAGCCTCGATCACATAGTTTCAGTGTTGTCGGTTGTTAGTATGGTTTAGGATTAGGGTTACGGTTTAGGGTTAAAGATGAGACCATAAATAATGGACGACATTTGAGCGACGCTAGAGTGAATCTGAGAGTGTCAACGTAATAACTAAGACTAAATGAGGGTTATAAACCCGTATGAAGATTTCAAATTATGATTTACAGTCCATGGTTAAGGTTATGAATTTTACTTAGGGTTTTCACGAACTGACATCAGCTATAATGCCACAACTCAATCCAAATATATAATTGAATTTTGCGCCAAAATCTTATGGTAACATATCTTGTAGACGCTTAATTATCATGTTTTCTCTAAAATCCTTTGTAAACTGACCGTACGTAAGCGTCAGGTACAGAACTTAGCGCTGTGACCTTGAAAACCCGCGAAAGCTTCTGATTGGCTCGTCCATGTTCTTTAGTCTCGCCAAATCAATTCACACACTTGTAAGTTTACGTTCATTTTGTTGTCTAAAGTTATACCAAAACTTTCCAACCTAAACATCCTCAAAGATAATTTGACTGGAGTATCAATTTTTTTATTTATTTGAGTCAGTATTATAACTATAACCATAAAAACAGATGAAGTAATTAGTCTCTTTGATAAATTTCGATGGTGTAATAAGAATACGAAGATTATTAGAACTATGTGATGTATTAGCGCAATACATTTCGAACAATCTGATCACACATATACTTGTTAAGAACATTTATATATAAACACTAAAGGTCAACCAGACTAGAAATGGAGGATAAGAGGAAACAAGGATAATAAAGAAAAGTAATGTGAAAACAATTTGGAACCTCATCACTCCGAATAATCAGCTAATATTACTGGTTGACTTTTTATTTTTATATGTGTTCTTAACAAGTATACGTGTTATCCGACTGCTCGAAATGTATTACGCCAATATATCACATAGCTCTAATAATCTTCGTATTCTTAATACACTATCGAAAGAGAGGACAAAGTATCTTGCCATCTATTCAATCAAAAAAACCCTAAAGTCACTGTTTCTAAGGCCTAGAAAATTCCTTTACAAGAGCCAAAAGAGGCTACGAAAACATTGAGAGACTTCTTACGCAATCAGCATTCAATAGAAGTCTTGCCAGAAACATCTAGAAAGGGAAAAGTCACGTGTCGCGTTTCTGGCTGGATGATTACCTATACTGCTACTACATTTAAGTATCGCCCCAGACTTTTCCGAAAACTTAAGGCCATCTAAAATGCTATAAATACCTTAGGTTTTCCGTACATGAACAAAACTTGAATTGAAGCTTTTCTTCCATATTTTGCGCCTTTTCTCTCATGTTCAAGTTGTTACCTGGGGGCTACTAGAAGAGAGCTTATAAACCGAACCTAGCGTTCATTTCGAAGACTTATCAATCAGGTTACAAGTAAAGTTTCTGTATGATATCAGAATCTGAATACCAAATCTATCCTAGATAACTTAGTCCCACTCTTGATATTAATACATATCATTTATATTTCCACATTTACTTTTCCCTACTATCATTAATTTAGCTTAGATTCTGTGTACAATGAACACTTACTTACTATAAGCCAGTTACAAGATGAGATCAAATCACTCAAACGTCAATTAACACTTAAAGACTTTGACTTGTTAACTAAAGATCGTACAATAGCAGAACTACGCTCTGAAATGATTGAAGTAAAATCAATGAATGAGGATCGTGTCCGAAAAATAAAATCAACTGCACAACTTGAACAAGATCGGTTGCTAGTAAGTTTGTTTTCTTCGCGACAATTTAATGCATTGATTTTCTCGAATATATTTTTTACAAATCAAACATCTGATCCATGTGATTAAGCAGTAAGGCTAAAAAGGAGAATTAATCCGTTTGTTTTCTATCCAGTTAGTTGTTTATAACTCAAAATAATCATAAGCTTTTTATTTAGGATTTGTTTGGAAATGTTTATAAGTTTTGTTATGCTTTGAGCGTCATAGATACTTGCTTCCTAGTCCCCGGAAATCTTGCTCTATTAAGTTGTAAACAAAAATTGCAGATGCCTTACTTCAAACGCTAAGTGGTGTACAGAAAACATGATTTGGTATAGGGTTGTGAACGGTTTTAAATGTTAAAAGTTTTTGAGAAGAAGCGAAGTTAGTGGAACAACTTAGTAATTATCTAGTCAGAATAAGGAAAGGACGATTAGCTGATTTCTGGATTTTTCTGGGGAGTTTTCAATAAGCGCTAGTTGGCTAAAGTACTTTCGGCTTTTCCCCTTGTCTTTAGAGAACTTCGTAAAGAACGATCAAAAACTATCAATTTTAAATATAATTCTAATTTTTTCACTCAGTACTTGACCGTACCTTGTCTTCTTTTTCTCTAGGCTACAATACGCCAGTTACAAAAAGAGAAGGCAATGGTTAGTCATAATACTAAACGTCGTAAAATTAATAACAATCTGTTAAAAATTACAAACCGACATTCTTTGTCTTCGACAGCCTTATTCAATCCAGATTCGCCGCTTAGTTTGGGCTCTGCGAAACGAGTTACCAAGCCTTCAGTACTTGAAAGCCAACGTAAAGAACGCGGAGGCGAAGAAACAATGTCTTACTCAGATCGAATATCGAAAAATACACTGGACTCAACAAGTTCAGTTAAAAGGCAACTTACACCTGACAGTATTGGTGTACAGATTTACGACGAAGACTCAAACTTAGCACCTCAACGTACAGTTACTTCTGGTGTCAAACAAAACAACTCAAGTTCACCAAATAATACTCCAAGTATATCATCCGAACCTCCTACAGATGAAGAAGAAACATCTCAACCGTATCATTATGATCTTCAAGAAATATCTGGAAAAAACCCTCTTGGGTTGGATACGCCATCGGAGTCTGAAAATGAAACACCCGACTGAGACTCTTCGTAAACTATCAATATTTTGACTCTCCACTTCTGTTTCACATAAAAAACGTAGGCAATTACTTTTTTTATAACACACCACTAGTAAGACTTTTAATTGTCAAGTGGTCTGTTTTTATAACGTCATTGTCACATTCATTTTTGCTTATTGGCTTGATTCAATCATTCACACACTTCTTATATGGAAAGTATGACAGTTCTGTTTGTTTTATTTAATTAGTTTAGGAGGGAGTTAAATTTCACTCCCTCTAAATATAATGTCATATACTTGTATATTCAATTAAATGTATCATGTTGTTTCTACGTTCTACAAACAATTCAGAATAACTAATTGTTTGTATATTATCTAAAAACAAGTCAACTCACAATAAATATATCATTTGCAGATTTAAAACTAGTCCTTTTGATAGTTTTGATGATATTCATGTTCGCGTTACGCCATTGAATGCGCATATCGGTTATGATTTCCCTTGAAAATTCGTCAATCCGCAAATGCACTTGTCACTGATTCTCACTAGCAATCAACCCTGAAGAGTTTCACTAGTCAGCACATAATTATCAGTATAGGGTTGTGGAGCCTGTTCAGTTCACATTGATATCATCAACGGTGGATGAATGTTAGAGCTGGAAGTAGTGAACTGCCGTTTGGTCGTAGTATGGGACTGGTGAGCAGTAGGTATGGACGATGCCACACGTGCGACTGGAACGCACCTTAGGTCTCACGTGTCCAGTCTTACTTATTGTCTGTTTTTCGTGTGTAAAATAAATCACACGTAAATATATTGAATGGGCTTTCTAATATCTCTCCTAGGTGTACCTGGTTGGAATAATCTCCGTCAGCATATTCGTATTTAGCTGCTATTACCACCACAGGAAAATGAGGTTAACTAACGTACCATATGCGAAACTAGTTGAGGCATTGAATTTCGTTATAGTCGTCATCCATGAAGTCCACTAACAGCTACAACCCATTGTCTTATGTAATAAACTTGTTTCAGTGACTATAATTATGAGCAATAGACAAAACAACTTCAATAGATCGTCAAGGCAATATACAGCTCGACATGACAATAATGAGAGGTTAAAGAAGATATATTCCGATAGTGTAATAAGAAGACGAAGATTATCAGAACTACTTCATATATTAGCGCAATACATTTCGAACAATCTAATCACACATATGCTTGTTAAAAAATTAATGCCCAATTCAGAAATCTATATGAATAACTGAGTACTCTAACCCCCAGGTCTTTAAATAATCAAAGCTGGTGTAAAGCTAAACTGGTGGACATAGCACACCAATTTCATAATCTTGGACCAAAGCAGAGAAACGTATTAACTTCTCAGTATTTTAAATCACTAAAAGAACTACGTTCAAACCCTGATGTCTTGTTGAAGGATAAAGGATCAGGCGTGGTTATCATGAACATTTGTGAATGTAAAAGTAAGATGTTATCCATCCTCAAGGATGAAAGTAAATTTATGCCTGATTGTTATATCGATTGCTTGAGCGCCCTGTTAATATATATGAACGTGCTGGTTCCCGCCAATCAGAGAGGAGTGAATTATCGATCAGAGCAATCATACACAAAAGCCGTATGAACAGTCTTGCGTAGTTATCAATCCTGCTTTTTGCCAAGCCCAGCCAGTTCAGAACACCAATAACAGCATCTGCAATATGAATCCTTATTCTCAAACATACTGGGTTTATATACCAAGCAAAGTGACCACATCTTACCATAAAATAGAAAATAATATTTGTACAAGATTTAGCCAAATGTGGATGTATATTGATCAAAATAAAGCTTATAATGAAAGGAGCATGAATAGCTAAGTGACTTAAGAATTATACAATGGGAATTATACGTAGCATATTGGTCGATAAGTAGCTCTCAAAGTTACCATTTATAAATCGCTTCGGCATATAACACAAATGTTAAAATTGAAGGTATTAGCGAACTAGAGGGAAGAGCAAATTCAAACTTTGAAAAATTGTTACACATGAATGCTATTGATAAAGGGTAATTTAGTTTCTTAAAACCAAAGTGTTCTGAGTATCCTCATTTATATGGACTACCTAAAATTCACAAATCAAATATTCATTTACGCCCAAATTTATTAATGGGCTGATCACCTACACATAACCTAGTTAAAATGCAAAAAAATTGCTGGGTCCTATTCGAAGACGTTTATGTAAGTATTCTCGGAAGGATTCTCTTAAATTGGTCCATCATTTAGATGAAATTATTATCAAGGGAAAGACAATGTGTTCATTTGGCGTGAATTTCTTTTTCACAAATCTACCTTTGAAAAAGACTTGACAAATTTTGTGAATATATATCTTTAAAAAACCTTAAAATACCTATAGAAATTGATACCGGGTTCAGTGTTTATATGTCCTAGAATGTTTATTTGATAATACGCAGAAATTTGTAGAAATATCATTTAGTAATTAAAAGGAAAGGAAAGAATTTTAGTTCCGGAATTTATATGAATTTTATATGATTTACTACGATGATCGTGAGAGTAAAAATAAATCAAAACACCAGAAAAGTATGTAAACCTCAATGTATGAAGAAAAAATAAAAGAGATTATACTGATGTTTGTTTTAGATTATTTGCGAGAGCGTGGGCGTTAACATAAAACAAGAATCATCTCAATCCGACCAGCCGTTCTATGAAAATCGTTGTATCTCGGAAACCACTGGACGGATTTTGATGATGTTTGTTTTAGATTATTTGCGAGAGCGTGGGCGTTAATATAAAACAAGAATCATCTCAATCCGACCAGCCGTTCTATGAAAATCGTTGTATCTCCGAAACCACTGGACGGATTTTGATGATGTTTGTTTTAGATTATTTGCGAGAGCGTGGGCGTTAATATAAAACAAGAATCATCTCAATCCGACCAGCCGTTCTATGAAAATCGTTGTATCTCCGAAACCACTGGACGGATTTTGATGATGTTTGTTTTAGATTATTTGCGAGAGCGTGGGCGTTAATATAAAACAAGAATCATCTCAATCCGACCAGCCGTTCTATGAAAATCGTTGTATCTCCCAAACCACTGGACGGATTTTGATGATGTTTGTTTTAGATTATTTGCGAGAGCGTGGGCGTTAACATAAAACAAGAATCATCTCAATCCGACCAGCCGTTCTATGAAAATCGTTGTATCTCCCAAACCACTGGACGGATTTTGATGATGTTTGTTTTAGATTATTTGCGAGAGCGTGGGCGTTAACATAAAACAAGAATCATCTCAATCCGACCAGCCGTTCTATGAAAATCGTTGTATCTCCCAAACCACTGGACGGATTTTGATGATGTTTGTTTTAGATTATTTGCGAGAGCGTGGGCGTTAACATAAAACAAGAATCATCTCAATCCGACCAGCCGTTCTATGAAAATCGTTGTATCTCCCAAACCACTGGACGGATTTTGATGATGTTTGTTTTAGATTATTTGCGAGAGCGTGGGCGTTAACATAAAACAAGAATCATCTCAATCCGACCAGCCGTTCTATGAAAATCGTTGTATCTCCCAAACCACTGGACGGATTTTGATGATGTTTGTTTTAGATTATTTGCGAGAGCGTGGGCGTTAACATAAAACAAGAATCATCTCAATCCGACCAGCCGTTCTATGAAAATCGTTGTATCTCCCAAACCACTGGACGGATTTTGATGATGTTTGTTTTAGATTATTTGCGAGAGCGTGGGCGTTAACATAAAACAAGAATCATCTCAATCCGACCAGCCGTTCTATGAAAATCGTTGTATCTCCCAAACCACTGGACGGATTTTGATGATGTTTGTTTTAGATTATTTGCGAGAGCGTGGGCGTTAACATAAAACAAGAATCATCTCAATCCGACCAGCCGTTCTATGAAAATCGTTGTATCTCCCAAACCACTGGACGGATTTTGATGATGTTTGTTTTAGATTATTTGCGAGAGCGTGGGCGTTAACATAAAACAAGAATCATCTCAATCCGACCAGCCGTTCTATGAAAATCGTTGTATCTCGGAAACCACTGGACGGATTTTGATGATGTTTGTTTTAGATTATTTGCGAGAGCGTGGGCGTTAACATAAAACAAGAATCATCTCAATCCGACCAGCCGTTCTATGAAAATCGTTGTATCTCGGAAACCACTGGACGGATTTTGATGATGTTTGTTTTAGATTATTTGCGAGAGCGTGGGCGTTAACATAAAACAAGAATCATCTCAATCCGACCAGCCGTTCTATGAAAATCGTTGTATCTCCCAAACCACTGGACGGATTTTGATGATGTTTGTTTTAGATTATTTGCGAGAGCGTGGGCGTTAACATAAAACAAGAATCATCTCAATCCGACCAGCCGTTCTATGAAAATCGTTGTATCTCCCAAACCACTGGACGGATTTTGATGATGTTTGTTTTAGATTATTTGCGAGAGCGTGGGCGTTAACATATAACAAGAATCATCTCAATCCGACCAGCCGTTCTATGAAAATCGTTGTATCTCGGAAACCACTGGACGGATTTTGATGATGTTTGTTTTAGATTATTTGCGAGAGCGTGGGCGTTAACATAAAACAAGAATCATCTCAATCCGACCAGCCGTTCTATGAAAATCGTTGTATCTCGGAAACCACTGGACGGATTTTGATGATGTTTGTTTTAGATTATTTGCGAGAGCGTGGGCGTTAACATAAAACAAGAATCATCTCAATCCGACCAGCCGTTCTATGAAAATCGTTGTATCTCCCAAACCACTGGACGGATTTTGATGATGTTTGTTTTAGATTATTTGCGAGAGCGTGGGCGTTAACATAAAACAAGAATCATCTCAATCCGACCAGCCGTTCTATGAAAATCGTTGTATCTCGCAAACCACTGGACGGATTTTGATGATGTTTGTTTTAGATTATTTGCGAGAGCGTGGGCGTTAACATAAAACAAGAATCATCTCAATCCGACCAGCCGTTCTATGAAAATCGTTGTATCTCCCAAACCACTGGACGGATTTTGATGATGTTTGTTTTAGATTATTTGCGAGAGCGTGGGCGTTAACATAAAACAAGAATCATCTCAATCCGACCAGCCGTTCTATGAAAATCGTTGTATCTCCGAAACCACTGGACGGATTTTGATGATGTTTGTTTTAGATTATTTGCGAGAGCGTGGGCGTTAACATAAAACAAGAATCATCTCAATCCGACCAGCCGTTCTATGAAAATCGTTGTATCTCCCAAACCACTGGACGGATTTTGATGATGTTTGTTTTAGATTATTTGCGAGAGCGTGGGCGTTAACATAAAACAAGAATCATCTCAATCCGACCAGCCGTTCTATGAAAATCGTTGTATCTCCCAAACCACTGGACGGATTTTGATGATGTTTGTTTTAGATTATTTGCGAGAGCGTGGGCGTTAACATAAAACAAGAATCATCTCAATCCGACCAGCCGTTCTATGAAAATCGTTGTATCTCCCAAACCACTGGACGGATTTTGATGATGTTTGTTTTAGATTATTTGCGAGAGCGTGGGCGTTAACATAAAACAAGAATCATCTCAATCCGACCAGCCGTTCTATGAAAATCGTTGTATCTCCCAAACCACTGGACGGATTTTGATGATGTTTGTTTTAGATTATTTGCGAGAGCGTGGGCGTTAACATAAAACAAGAATCATCTCAATCCGACCAGCCGTTCTATGAAAATCGTTGTATCTCCCAAACCACTGGACGGATTTTGATGATGTTTGTTTTAGATTATTTGCGAGAGCGTGGGCGTTAACATAAAACAAGAAT